AATAATCAATAGAGATTGGCCAATTTAAGGTACATCGAATAATACTATCTAATCAAAGTGACCGATTTAAGATTACACCTATAACAATGACTTCAAAAAAGTTGTCAAATTCATTGAAAAATCATCAACAAAGAAAGTGGCTGTTTTAAAGTTACATATTAAAAAAATATCTAATAAAAGTGACCGATTTAAGGTTACTTCTAATACAATTATCTATAAAATATGGTCGAATTTATTTTAAAATGATCACTAAAGAAAGAGGCCGATTTAAGGTTACATCCAATAAAATTATCCAATAAAAGTGACCAATTTTAGGTTATATCTTATCAAATTATCTAATAAGAGTGACAAATTCCAGATAACATGTAGTACAATTATCTTTAAAAGAAGAGAAATTTGTTGTATATTACAGTAAAATTATCAGTAATGAAAACGGCCGATTTAAGGTTACATCAAACAGAATTGTCTAATAAAAAGTACAAATTTTAGGTTACATCTCGTACAATTATCTATAAAAGAAGTAAAATTCATTGTTAAATGAACAATGAAAAGTGGCCGTCTTAAGGTTACATTTAATAAAGTAATCTTATAAAAATGACCGATTTTAGGTTACATCTATTAAAATTATTTAATAAAAGTGACCGATTGAATGTTAAATTTTATACAATTATCTAAAGAAGGTAGACAAATTTGTTGTAAGTATAAGTAAAATTATAAATAAAGAAAATGGCCGATACAAGGTTACATCTTTTTAAATTATCTTTTTACAATTGGCTAAATGTATTGTAACATGTAGTAAAATTAGCAATCAAGAAATTGGCTCACTTAAGATCAGTAATATGAGTGAGTCACTAAAAAAGAGTTTGAGTTAAGCTAACGTTTAATGCATTTAAGAATTAAAAAGTGGCCGATTTCATAGTAACAAAAATAGTAAAATTATTAATCAATAAAGTTTCAAAAGTAATTGTAAAAAATAGTAAAACTATCAGCGGTTAATTTAAGGTTACATCTTATAAACATACATAAAAAGTTGTCGAAATTATTGTAAACTATCAATACATTATTAAAAAAAATAAGATGTGGGAACAGTGTCAAAAAGACAACTCGAACATGTCTAGTCTGGATTACCTTACGGTCTGTCAGACGAGATGTCATGAAATGTCCTGCTTCTTACGACTCGTTCATATCAACACAGACAAAAGGAAATTTGGTATTGTAGTCAAAAGTAATATGTTCAAGTATATCAAGCAGTTTAGTATGATTGTCAATGAGACAGCTATCAATCAGAGATCAAAACAAACTGTAAAAAACAACGGGGTAGACATTGGGCTAAACATTATGTAACAATACACCCATGCGATTGCACGTACATGTATGGTTGTCAACAGCATAGAAAATATAAAGTAGAAAAAAATATTAGGCGAATGAATGCATAACGTACTAGAAAAAATTTACTCAATCCTAAAAATGATTGGAATTGAATACATCTTAAACAAATAGATCGAAATGTCAGCCAAAATATAGTTCTGGCAATATGCACACTTCCATAATAATAGTATAATTCACAATGGAAAGTTTATTTTACATTGTACATGTACTTGTTATGCTTCACATGTGTTAACGACTTTAACACTGTTAAAAAATGTTAAGTATAAACTGCCGATAATCAAATCACTGTTAAGTTAAAAGTATATTGAAATATATATAATTGATATGTGGCTATTAAAAGGGTATTAAAGGTATGTAAAATGCAAAATGAATATGATTTAGTGAATATAGACAGGAAAGAATAAAAAATGGAACATACCCTCCGCCTCAGTAGGTACTGGGGATTACTAAGCTATTGTAGACATCATCAATCCATGCTCTACAATAAGAATATTTTTAATAATGCAATATTTAAATGAACTTTAATTGAACGAATAGATATGCCCCGTCTAAATAAAACAGTTACACTGCACGTGTGTCTAGTCCGTAGGTTCCAATTTAACAATTGAAAAATGAAAATGAGATTTTCATCAAATATTTAAACAAATACCTTGTGCATCCGAAGTGTAGGTCTTATATGCGCGACACTCAAGAAGGAATGTTAGGATTTCTAATTACCAGAAAAAATTGACGTCTTTTCCAGTTCAAAAAAGCTTCAATTTCGAAAAAAAAGTGATTTGTGTTTAAGTCAGGTTTAAGATCCCAAAACCATGTCATCCCTCCAAGGCGATACTCGTAATCCCCTGGAAGAAACTACAAACGCAGAAAATAATGGTGCTCCAAAACAATAAGAAACATATATTTGAATAATCTAAGCCACGTTTCGTAATTATTTTGATATTTCATTGGATGTCATCACGTGTATACATGTAATTTTCTCTATCGTTTACTGCATAAATACAAGTATTCATTAAAAAGACCGGTAATGGTATAATAAACTTGTCTTGTCATGTCTTGTCTTGGTAATCATTGTACTTCTATGCAGTAAGTGAAGTTAATATATAAATCACCAACATTGTCATCAAAAAGATTTTTAATTTCTGGTGTACAGTGGTATAAATCTCCATTAATCAAAATTTGGACAAGGTCTCTAGCATCTCTGAAACAAAAGAAATGACTTGTAATACTAAACCAGTTATTAACGTCTATAAAACTACTTCTTAAAATAGACTTTACCACTAGCCAGGAACTATTATACACATTACTCGTCCCAGCACTAACTGGACATATCGGCCCTGCAGCATCTATTGAACCCTGTATGTATTGATAGCCTATAATAATATAGTAAATAAATTGTCCATGGTTGAATGGGAGAGAGGACATTGGGAAGAGGCCGGACCCAAAAAATATGAGACCTGTCGGTATTTTAAGTTAAATGCTAAAAAGGTGCGCATTGTCATGTGGAAAGGACTTTATCAAGGCGGGACATTTTGTTTGACCTCGGCGGGACATTTTTGTTTACCTCAGCGGGAAAATTCAAAGTTTTCATTTATTTCCGATCTCGGGATTAGATGATTTTTACCTGGGATCCCAGGATCAAACCCCTTATAACCACCCCAAACGTGGCTGCGTGTAGGCTGAGCATATAGGATTATATTACGGAAAAGGGGCAAAGGGGGTCCTAATAAGAGCAGAACAGTGAATTGATTTTGACAATAACAGTTAACAGCTAAAAAATATTCACAATAGCCGATAACAATGAATAAAAAACGCCCAGAACACAAGAACAGTAAACGTCACCTTGCCCCCCTCTAAAAAGTATAACGGAGGTACACATGTGTATATTTTAGCGAATATTTACAATTGATGGACATTGATGTAATACAATAGATATATATTGTGGTGTTTTAATGTGTCTATTGTAATTGAACACTTAAACTACTATTTCGTCACATAAAATGGCTAAAATCCGTTTAAATCGTAGAAAAATATATTTTCGAAAAGCACTCACGTCTTTTTCGTCGCCATCTTGCCATCAGGTTCAGGGTTGATATCGAGTTAACTCGAGGGTTGTAAAAGGATAAAACTCGGGTACATCGATTGCAACTCGAGTAACTTGGGTTACCCGACTTGGACGAATCGAAGTAGGCTCAGGATATATATAACATCCCGCCCACAAAATAAAAAAATACTAAATTTTTACAATGGTCAATATGTTTATGTGTTAAAAATAATACAATTTATAATTATTTCCAAAATAGAAAGTTTACATGAATAAAGTTAATCTCTCAACGCTCTAGTAACCATTTTTAAAATACACATTTCAACGCTGCAAAACCGAAAGTCTGGCATCTCGGAATCCTCCCTCGGATGACCTTATGCACGCATTACTTTCACACAAACACTTACAGTGATACACACATATTAATGGCATTTCCTACTAGACAAACTGAATTCATTTTAAATAGCTGAATATAAATTTGATAAAATCATCAGAGACCTTAAACTCTTAAATTAAAGGTTTTATGTTATAGATATTTCATAGATTTTGGATAGTTTTTCTGTGTATCGTAAATTATACCATAGTTTTTGTTGAAAGCCCCGGCCTTAACCTCACGAGACAAGGTACTACGGTATATTTTACGATATACGGAAAAACTATCCAAAATATGAAATATCTGTTTTAACCTATTACAACTTTCACTGTTAAAAATATTTTGCATATATTTTTTTGTTTTTGCATTAAAAATAATTTGATAAGATTCAGTAAAAATATTCCCTTAGTCAAACCCCGCCCACTTTCTAAAATTTACGGACTTCTTAAAAGGCGTGAATTAGAATAAGATTATCCTTATATGTGTGGGATGAAGAAGTAGATATTACCCTGACACAAATATGTGAAGATTTAGATATATGGTAAAACACCCAATTCTTGACGATTACAGACTTTCACGGATTTTTGCAAACGGAAAAAAAATTTCACAAGTACAATTTTAAGAATGACGGTTTAAAAATGTTATTTGTCGGACTATAATAAGACTGCATGGACGATTCCAAGTTGAAAATGAAATTGTTGAACTGAAATTCGGCAAAGAGTGAGTATTTGTTTTATCAATCAATATTTAATTTATTAAGTTAAAAATGTTTTAATTTTCATCTTTAAGATTTGGAATAAATCATACCCTGTTTAATTTATATCAAAAGCCAAAACCGTAATTGTTATTTAATTTCTAGACCTACGAATATGCTACGTAAATTGGCCAAAATTTAAGCTTCGTTTTGGGTAACTCGACCCTAGCTAATTTTGACGGTCTTCCCTGACATTTTTACAAGTATGCAAACTCATGTTGACTTTTGAGATGCAGTCTAATCTTGATTATTTCGAATCTACATTAACATTTTCAACATGTCACCCTTAACATACTTTTTTTTGAGGCCTAATAAAAAATGTGATTAATTTAACCTTTGGAATAAAAATTATATATTTTTGTCAGGATAGAAGTCTCGTATAGAGGGAAGGAAAGACACAAACGATTACAAGAATCGATGTACGCAATTTTTTTATTTTGTAGAGCAGCAAGGACGCATGTCGGGAGAAATCGTTAGAAAGAAATTGAATCTTGCCATCGCAGAATTAGAAGATTAAAGCCGATGATGAGTTAGAAAACAGCTTTTGCTGAAATATCTGTTTTAACCTATTACAACTTCCACTGTTAAAAATATTTTGCATATATTTTGTTGTTTTGCATTAAAAATAATTTGAGAAGAAAATGTCTTTGAATTCTGGTTAGACGATTGACATTTGAGCTCGTGACGTTTGAAACTTTCTTCTAAATCTGCTTCTAATCAGTTTCGTGGTTTTCACTGCAGGGCACTTTGATCTTGTTCTTGTTTAGTTAAAAGTCTGTTTCTAAGTTTTTTAATAACAAGTCATGGACATTAAAAAATCCTCTCGGAAGGAACGGACATTGCTGGTACTGCTTAAACACGTCTTGCGATTATTGATTGATTGATTGTTGGTTGCTTAACGTCCAGTGGCAAATATTTCATGCATATTCAGGACGAGAACAAGTTCACAATAAATGCAATAGGTAGGTTCTGTAATAGATTAAGGGATTAAGGTCGGAGAAATTTAGACTGCCACGGGAAATGAGGGTATATTGGATAGGGACAGAAATTTAGCCTTGCAACAGGTCACCTACGGACCCCTCAAAGAGTTGTTGCAAGGGTTCTTAACGTACAAAGAGCGTGGCACTCTCTTTACACGAGGTATCGGATTTAATGTCCCCATTCTGACCGGACGTGGCTGCAAATTTGTACATCCCGCACAGCCAAACGGACGCCCCACTTTAGCACGGGTTTTACTGCCGGTCGGAGGAAGACCAATGGTGACCATACTTCTATTCCCCAGTCACCCTTGGGGGTTTTTGCGATTATAGATCAACGTGGAAATTCCGCTTCGTTATCAGACCACCACTCAAACAAATCGTTAATTCAAACATGTAATGTAATAATCCGTTGTGTAACAATTAGTCCAGTAAAAAGAAGTTATCCATTCCTAACATGAAGGTCGCTCAGTACAAATGTCTGTTGTTAATGATTCTCCCTCCTCCTCGTCTGCCAGCGCCTTTGGTGGTGTTACTGTTACAACGACAATCTCCTCTCAGACTGTCTTTCTGCTGTTGCAGTTCTATTATCATCTCTTTATCCTTGTCTTTATTTCTTGGCTATTTTCTTCTTTCACTTTTTTCTTACTATCGTCATTCCTATATCGGTTAGCCAATTTCGTTTACTTTATCTTTGAGCTTTCTAAAGGCACGGCAACTGTCCCCTTTGTTACTATCTAACACTTTTCAAGCTCCTTCCCAAGTGCTGGTCATTTCCTTTGTCGTTTTGGCATACAGTACATCTGAAGATCTGATTACGAAAACTAGTCCTTACTTCTGAAGTTACTTCAGAGGTCTTTTCCTTAAAGACCCCCCAAGGGTGACTGGGAAAAAGAAGTGTGGTCACCATTGGTCTTCCTCCGACTGGCAGTAAAACCCTTGCTAAAGTGGGGCGTCCGTTTGGCTGTGCGGGACCCTCCCGATCAAAGTCATGTAACACTTTAATATTTGAAATTATTCCAGGTAACTTGTTTTAAAAGTAAACAGTAAAAATATGCCTAAGTTTATTAAAGATGTATATTTTGATTAAGATTAATCATGTTAATAGCCTCCCTGTTGCATTTTTTTTAATTTCACGATTTTACGTATTTTATTGTGTTTGTAATGTCCTGATACTTTCAAATATTAATATGAAATATATAAACGTTTACATTTAATTATTACCACTAATGAGATCATGAGCTGGATTATGGCATATATTTTCTATTTCATCTATATTTTCTGTTTAAATTTTCTAAATTTTATGTATGCTGATGATTTTTGTATTAACATGTAGATGTTTTCTCTTTATTCACTGCGACTTCTCAAAACGTTGCAGAAATTTAGCCTTGCAACAGGTCACCTACGGATCCCTCAAAGAGTTGTTGCAAGGGTTCTTAACGTGCAAAGAGCGTGGCACTCTCTTTACACGAGGCATCGGATTTGACGTCCCCATTCTGACCGGACGTGGCTGCAAATTTGTACATCCCGCACAGCCAAACGGACACCCCACTTTAGCAAGGGTTTTACTGCCGGTCAGATGAAGACCAATGGTGACCATACTTATATTCCCCAGTCACCCTTGGGGGGTTAAACGAAAGAATCCAAAAGCTACATGAAAAATGGGTTGAGAAATACAGGAATAATGGGGCGAACAACGAGAATACGGAAATCAACAAAACTGAAAAAGGGAATTCAAAGAGCTGAAAGACACTAGTTCAAGCCGTCGTACTCTAAAGGAAACTAACACTATTGAAGATATTAAACGTGATTTTGATGAACTAAAGGAGATGATTGGTGAGAAAGGAATCCTATATGAACGTAAGGAGTTTAGTGGTGGACTTGGAAAAGCCAAGGACGTCGTTATGACTTCTGATATGGAATAAAGTGAAATAAAAGTGTGCGGAATTATAATTAACTACTGTGAATAATTATATACTTTTGACTGTGAATGCAGGTTTGGTTATGTTCCCATGCAATGTTTATAAAGTATTTTTTGTGTAAGGATGCCGGAAAAAATATTGTTATATTTATAAAACATTAACAATAGATGTCCTACCAGAAAATCATCCAGCGCGAGGGGGAAAGAATGACTTTTCAGTCAAAGGTGAAGAAAGAACATCAAAAACCAGTGTCATACAAAAGAAACATTAGAAATAACGATCAGCTACCAAATCAGAATAGAAAATCTTTTCTTCGGAAAAAAAATATATAAATGTATAGTTTCTTGAAGTTGCCTTATCATAACCGTCGAGAACAAATGCAGCCAGATGACATGCACACAATTGTGAATGTAATTTGCAATCACTTTTCCTTCATAAACGGATTAGATGACGGGGAAGAAGGTACGGAACGGAGATGAAGAGTTTGATCGATTTAAGGATTCTTGGAACAGAGGTACCGGTAATAGTGTTGAGGAAATAGTCACGAGAAGCAGAAAAAGAAATCGATTGCAGAAAACAGAAAAAAAAAACTAAATTAGCTAGAGTAGAATCCACCACATCAGAAAATATGACTATCACCCAAAACAGCATTTTTCAAAGCCATGGACACTTAGGCCTATGCATGGAAAACATCAGGTAATTAGCCATTAATATTGTTTGTATTGTTAAGAATGATAACATGGAGATCTATGACTAGCATCATTGCTTTTTTAATTTGCACTTTTGTTCTCTCCAAAATTAAATTTGGAACAAATGGTTAAGTTAACAGGTAAGTTTTGTCAGGATCTACATGGACCAGTGATGTATACAAGGCCAATAAAAAAAAAATTATTGCGTTTATCTTGTGTTCACGAGGCATCGTAAGTACTAGTACAGATCATCTTTCAGAACAAATATGACGTCGAGACAACTAATGCTATCATGACTTCCCGTAAAGACGAGATAAACGAAGATTTAAGTGGAATAGTACTCATTGTTGACACACAAGGAGTAACGTTATACATCTAGATATACAGCCAGAAATAGTGAAAACAAATGAACTATTTAATCCACCCTGACTTTATTTCTGAGAAAGATTTTGGAACGGATAATGAGCTCCAATACTGAAAGTGTTGATATTGTTTTGCTGTATTTGTCAAACGCAGATAACGCCTCATACAACTGCTAGAAAAAAGGGCTTATAGTAAAGGTGAATATTCAATCTTTTCATTGATTGTTGTTTACTTTACGTCCATGGCATATATTTCATGCATGTTTAGGAGGCCGCCCCGGATGTTGGGGAAATTTGGACGTGCCACTGAATATATTGAATAGAAAAAAAAACACTTTGCACCTTCGTTTATCATACAGCATACTCCAACTTAATCTATGTAAAAAAACATCAATTAATTATCTTTAAAACTAACTTTATTCTATTTCAGATATCATTTTGTTAGGTTTTGAGAAGTCGCAGTGAATAAAGAGAAAACATCTACATGTTAATACAAAAATGACCAGCATACATAAAATTTAGAAAATTTAAACAGAAAATATAGATGAAATAGAAAATACATGCCATAATCCAGCTCATGATCTCATTAGTGGTAATAATTAAATGTAAACGTTTATATATTTCATATTAATATTTGAAAGTATCAGGACATTACAAACATAATAAAATACTTAAAATCGTGAAATTAAAAAAAATACAACAGGGAGGCTATTATCTATTTGGAAGGCTTATTGCATGCATTGGGTTGACAAATATTTGAATTTTTCACTATACAATAATCAAAATGTGAATCTTATTACAGATAAGAAATCTGCTGTGTGTGACAATGATGACAGGTGAAGTTGTACAGCAAGTACATGTAGAACGACCATTAGGAAGAGAAGATTGCAAGTTAAAAGGAATCTTTTTGAAGACAAAAAAGGTAAAAGTGAATCCTAGTATTGAAACTATTACTTATAGGGCCTGGGGGTACATGTATAATCAAGATGTGTCAGAACGACATAAACGGTCCCTTTTCAAATAAAGTGAAAACCTGCAATATCAATTACAAGTGGGGACAGAAACATGCACGGTCCAGCATTCAACTGTTTATTTCAGATTATTTCAAGTTCAGTTAGAGTCTGTAATTTCAGCAAAAATAAGCAGAGCAGCATGAAACTTAAAACTGATTCGCAACTCATCATAATTGGATTTCCCGCCGCAAATGTTTGCACCTGTCCTAAGTCAGGAATCTGAAGTACAGTAGTTGTCGTTTGTTTATGTAATTTATACGTGTTTCTCGTTTTTTATATAGATTAGACTGTTGGTTTTCCCGTTTGAATGGTTTTACACTAGTAATTTTGGGGCCCTTTATAGCTTGTTGTTCGGTGTGAGCTAAGGCTCCCTGTTGAAGGCCGTACATTGACCTATAATGGTTTACTTTTAAAAATTGTTATTTGGATGGAGAGTTGTCTCATTGGCACTCACACCACATCTTCCTATATCTATTTACATATTAAAAACAAGCTCAAGATCTGAAGACACA